TATTTAAGATAATATTCATCGAGTTGTTGACTCTTTAAAACTTTGATGAAAAATTTTGAAATGTCCTCTTTATTAAAATGCAATTATTCTTTAACACCAGTGTTACAATTTTTTATATTTTCTTAAAGAAACTATATACATTTTTTTATAAAAATATAAAACTTCGGGACTGTGCATTTTCAATTTAATTGTTTTAATTACAAAGTATACTCGTTGTTCGTGAACAAATGGGTAAAAATTAATTTTCTATTCTTGTATTTGTTTAATAATGCTCTACACTTTTATAAAAATTCCAAACTTCAGAATTCGATCAGCTTTGTAGATTGTTATACAAATCCAAGAGTTCTTTTTAAAGTTAATTCAAACTTTTTGCATGTAGATCTCTACTTTAACAGTACTAACTAAAAAGAAAACTTATTATTTGTGACTAAATAATAAAACTAGTTTTCTTGCACCGATAGTTTGTTAATTATACACAGTTATTTATTCACGCACGTTCAACATCCTTTCATTAAAAGCGTTATTCATTATTTGGGCTCGATGCCCTTTGGCTGGTTTTTGCAACATGACGGAAGCTTGCTGTTGCTCTAAATTAAACGTCCGAATCCGATTTTCGGTTTAATCCCTTTGTCCGGAACGAAAGGCTTTAAGCACAGATAAAGATATCCCCAACTCAAAAGGGGTACTTAATTAGTACACATGGATCTGCTATTGATACTTTGTATGAAACGCTTTGTAGTTGGACAAAATTAATACCGTTGTGCGCTGCTAAAAATGAGCAACTTTTGGTGCTCCAATTACGCCAGTTTCCTTGGTCACCCAATTTAACCGACTAAATCTGAGTATCTCGATTCATAATTAAGAACTAAGTGGCAGTAGAAATTTCAATCTTGAACCAATAAATCAACCTTGGTTTTATGAAGAATTTAGTTAGCTAGCAGTCACCAATTTTGTTAAAACTATTAAGTAGTCACTGATAAATGATGTTTCAAGTGGTTAGCATATCAGAACTGAAGCAAACTATTTCTCAATCATCTTTATAATCACTGACAGATAAATCATCAAGTGGTTAGCAATCCAGAACTCAAACACATGTACTGCAACATCGACCCCAGCAATAGTACCAGCAATTTCAGTCTTGAATTAATAAGTCAACCTTCGTTTAATGACAAATTGATTATATTATACCGTCTAC